CGTCCGATTCCGGAGTACCTAGAAATCCTAAAATGAAAGTATTCATACGTGGTAGAGCCACGCTGTAGCTGTATTATAGTTGTAGCACGAATGGGCCGGCTCGACCAGAGCTGGACCACGCTCTCACAGAATAGCTGCTTAAAATAGCAGCTTAAGGGGAAATATAACCTCAAATGGCTTAGCAAGATCCTCAGTTATGCCGAAAGTATTGCAGCATTAATTTTGAAATAAATATATGGTAAAGTTGAGGATTAATGTTAAGGACTATGTTAGACGAAAACACGATTCCGTAAAATTTTCTCGATAGAAAAAAAAACCAAAGTTACCTCCAAACTGAACAATAAACCGCTGTTATTCATAAAATATTTTTCTTTAAATAAGATCATGAAACTTTACATACTAACTAAACTAACTATAAAGCAGTGCTTATGTTATTTACTTTTTTAAATACCATTATTTCCACTGTAAAAAAGAAATTACCTAAACTATCGGCGTCTTGAGGCTTGATTCCTGTCGCACCGTTAGTATCGCTTAGGCTTTTGAAGGGAGAAGTTGTGTCGCTTATGATCAAAATACACATTACGCCACAGGACGACGTAAAATTAAAATGGGAAATAACCGTTATAAAAATGAGAAGTGACCGGGTTGGCGTTAAGAAACAGGCATAATTATGATAAACCTAATGAAATAAGTGTCTAACGACCTATCTACTTACAGTATTAGTGATAACAAACATGTCGGTACATAGCATACGACGCGCGGGGAAGTGAGGGCGAAATTAGAATTTGAGCTGACTTACTATATCCTCTTAATATTATACTGTTGTGTTTCGTATGGTGAGTGTAGAGATCGGAGATCCTTTTTTACTGGAAAAGAAGCATTCCATCTTAGCGCTCAGGGATGAGTAAAAGGGTCTTCGGTTCTCTACACTCACGATACGAAACACAGCAGTATTAAGCTGCTATTTGACGCTGGTATTCTGTGAGAGCGTGGTCCTGCCCCGGTTGAGGCAGTCCTTACGTGCTACAACCATAATTTAGCTGCAGCATAGCTCTACCACGTATATGACATTTGCACATATTTATGTAGAAATCATCTTCGAGTTCAATATTAAATATTTCTGAGTAGTTTTTTAGCGTTCGCCTAGAGACACGTATAAATATTTTTACTTTAAAGAAGGAGGATGTAATCAACTCGAATGTATGTTTTTTTTTGTTTTATGTCACAGTGCAGACCTTTTTTCTAGGTAAACAGATTTTTGTGATTCTTAGTTTATTTTTCTGACCAGTAGTTTCTGAGTTAACCGTAATAATGTTTATGTTATTGACTTTGACTACATTGATGATGTTCGCCACCACCAGAAACACTAAATATTCTATCAGTAAGTGTAGTTTGTCATCGGATATGCATTTAATAGAGTCAGTGAGTACTTGATCGTTTTTGCGTTAGTAGGTTAGGGACCGCACTATCAATTTTATACGCGCAATTACGTTCTTAGAGATGTACGTTGAACACATATCGATATTAAAATATAACCTTACTTAACTGCCTCGTTGGTCTAGTGGTTGTAGTAGTGCGACTGCTGATCATGAGGTCCTGGGTTCGAATCCCGGGTCGGGCCAAAAAATAAATTATTGAGATTTTCCGTCAAGAAATTTTCAGTAGTTGCCCGGAGTCAGGAAGTTGGCGGTGTCTCACCCCCGTGCCTCGGAAAGCACGTAAAGCCGTTGATCCTGTGCCTGATCTCTCTCCGGTCGTGTCGGTTTACCGTCCCTTCGGATTATGAGAGTGAGGGAATAGAGAGTGCACCTGCGCTTGCGCATACACTTGGGCACTATAATCCTGTCCTGCGCCGATGGCTAGCCTTCTTTAAGCTGGCCGCCGTGGCCGAAATTCAGTCTGGTGGCCATTATTATTATTATTATAACCTTACAAGAAAGACGATTGCAAGGCTAAGCAGTTGCAGTATCTGAGCTGAGTCATCAGTATTATATTATATATAGGCGAAACCGAGGCCAGTCGCTAGAATTATAGTTTATAATACGATACACTGTTCGGATTACTCGTAGAATACTATAATACACAATAGAATGGCTGTCAAGCTTATTTTGTACGAGGATCGGCGTTGCCGGCAGCACACATACAAGCAATTACGTCGTATTATCACTACTGCAATACCGATTCGCTGTGTTGTTAGATTGAGCGAATTTACACATTTTAAAATTTTGATTATTGTTTTGACACATCAATATTTCTCTATTTTATATTGATTTCTAATACATATACATACATACATACATAAACACTCACGCCTGTCACCCAGAGGAGTAGACAGAGACTACAGACTTCCATTTGGCACGATCCTGACAGACCTCTCTCGCCTCCTTCACATCCATATATTGACGCATACATGCTCGTCGGTTAAGGGTATTCTTAAGTTGGCCCGTTTTCAATAAATCGCTAATTTGGCCGATAAATTTTCGCCTAGGACGTCCCTTTCCGACTGCCATTCACTTCAGCAACATAAATTTTCTTTGTCACTCTTTCCTCACTCATTTTTTCCACATGACTAAACCACTGAAGCATTCCTTTTTTAATCCTGGTCACGATATCATCTTGCAAACCACACTCTTATTTTATCACACAATTTCTCACCCTGTCATTCAGATTTAGCCCTAACATACTCCTTAACGACCGCATTTCTACTGCGTTTATTCTACTCTCATGCTTCTTCTGCTACACCCAAATTTTACTACCATACCCAACTTTCACATACATTAAAGTAGGGGCCAACACAGCATTGTGAATTGCCTTACGTGCCTTTTTTGACACATTCTGACTCCTCACAATAGAGTGTAGGGCCCCATTTACTCTATTTCTTGCGTTCACTCGTCTTTCTATATCCTTATCATATCTCCCATCCCTGCTAAACACGCAACTCAAATATAAAAACTCATCTACTTGCTCGATCAACTCTCCTTCTATTCTTATTTCACATATAGTTTTACTTTCTTCTCTTTCAAAAATCATAACTTTCGTCTTACTTGCGTTCACTTTCATACCCCTTTCTTTTAATGATAAGTTTATTAATATAACCACCATTTGCACCTCAGTCGCCGACGACGCAAGAATAACTTGATCATCGGCGTACAAAAGGCATTCGATGGTTAACTCACCCATTCTTAATCCGCATTCTTCAACTTTCAAATTTTCCAAACAACTGTCCATAAATAGGTTGAAGAGCCACGGGGAAGCCACACAGCCCTGTCTGACACCTTTATGAATGCCAAACCGACTGGACCGACGAGTAGACCCCGTTGATCCTAACACAAATACTAGAGTCCCTATAAAGAGACTGCAACTTGCTTTTTCCTTTCAACTACTTTTTTAATCTCTTATTTAGATGTCTAAAGACTGCCTTTTTTCTTTAAATATCATTATTCGTACCGCTAGAATTACCAGCCTTTGTTGCTAGTAAATCTAGCCATGCTCTCTTCTTTGCTTCAACTTCCATACGTATCTCATCATCCCACCATAACGTATTATTTTTCCTTTCATTATTTCTCTTACTAACTCCACGTACTTCGGTATCTACATCCGCAAAACCTTTCTTAACATTTTGCCATACATTCTCCAAGTCTAACTCATTCATACATAATTCATCCAAACCACTTATATTTTCTTTCAGTCTACATTTGAACTCGTTTTTCTCATCTTCCTCTTGTAACCTTTCTGTTCTATTACGCTGTAACGCAGTGGTAGACACAGATGACCGATGGCACCAACGCCTGAATAGACCATTGATTCGGCATAAAACCAAATAATGATCCGTTCCTACGTTAGACCTCCGGTAAACCCTTGTATTATACCCTCGGTAAACCCTTGTACCCTTTTACCGTTGTTGTTGTTGGTTTCTAATATTCACGAAATATAAATAGTTTCGACTTACTAGTCGTAGGATGTCTTTTTTATTTAAATTCCATTTCCCGCTATTATTTCAACACGTAACCATTGCACAATTTGCCAGCGACGCTTGACACGCAAATTGGAATCGATTGATTGTGCTCACATTTATAGGTGTGTTGACATGTTAGTGACTACACTCCGCCGTTCTATTATATACGTATTATAGTATTCTATGGGATTACTACTATACACAAAGCTTATTTATAATAATTAATAACTACTATACTTATTTTCGCATTCAATGCAAGGTTGATGATTTCTTAGACATGGTTATTTATTTTAATTTGTAACAATAATATCGATAAATGCTTCATTCCTGCCACGGCTCCACTCTATGCGATACAAGAAATTACCCATCCCAACAATTGAGGACTATTTCGAGCGATACAAATGATAACACGTTGCTAACTGGCGTCAAGTGACTCTGATTGCGTGGTGGTTGATTTAAACGCACTAGTGAATGCACGCGGTTATGTTTGTCGATTTCATTATCATCTTTTCATTATTTGATGTAACTCTTCCCGGCCTCTATAAAATACACTTATCCTAAGTGTATTTTATAGAGGTAAGAGTGACAAACGTGCACACAATCCACCTGATGGTTAGAGTGCTGGTGTTGTAATAGACCTTCTATCCTCGATTAAGAATTGACATGCAGGTGCGTTGTCACAACTAAGGATTAAAATTGAACGACTCGTTATCAGTAAAGAGTTTATCCGATTTTGTTCTGATTTTTTTATAAAATAAGTGTGATAGACGAGCACACAGTTCACTTGATTAAGTGGGCGCTGTGGTTCGTAGATATTTATATTTATCCTCGATTAAGAATCAAAATGCAGATGCGTTGTCATCCATGAGGACTAAGATGGAAAGACTCGTTTCCAGTAAAAAGGTCTCCGGTTCTCTACACTCACCGTACGAAACACAGCAGCATTACACTGCTATTTTGCTTCTAGTATTTTGTTTTAGACTGACAGATAAGCTAGTTATAAAGAACTCCTTTAACATTTTGTAATAATGTAATATTTTTACAGACGGTGGTGCATCTCCTCGATCTGGACGACCGCGACTGTACTTCTGCACCGGTTGATGACTGCGCCCCTACCGCCGATTTCAGGTTATTGGCTCCTTTCATCAAAGTAGTTTCCCGAGTTTGCAACCCAACCAAAGACAAATATTGTAAAAAGCAAAAAAAGTTTAGTAATAATATTCTCCAGGCCGAACTGCAGTCACAGCGGCCACTCTAGCCAGGACCACAGGACAGGATTATAGAGTCCAAGTGCAAACAGGTGCACTCTCTATTCCCTCACTCTGAAAGAATAAATAATTTATCGGTTCTTTCCATAAATTTTGATTTAACAAAGGACTGACAACGTCATGAGCAAATAAAGGAATTTGCAGCGCAAAAGTATAGAAAATTCTTCATAATTTATTGAACATAGGCCAGGGCCCCACAAATTCTCGGTCTGTCCCTGACAACAACTACAAAAGATAAAAATACAATCAATAGCACAAACTGTTCAAGGAGTATTTTCTCGGCCAGTGCATTCCGACCAAGGTCAAAATGATTATATAGTGTAGACAAATCAGTGCAGCGGCGCATGAAGTCACGTTTTTTACTCATTATGATTTAGCTCGTAGAACCGACATCCGCTGGGGAAGAAAGGTTTTCAAGTGGCAGATTATTGGTTCAGCACCTGTAAGTGAAATGTAGGACGTTCCCTCTCCAGATGGAGAGACGACCTGGTAAGATAATCAGGAAATCGATGGATGCACGTGGCTTAGGATTATGCTTTGGCATTCCTTTAGGGCGACCTACGTTTAGCAGTGGATTTGTGAAGAGCTGTAATGGTGATGGTGATGAAAGTTGCAATAGGTGTGTGGCGGCGCTGTCGTCGTGTAACTTGCGAAACATCGAAGCCTAAATCGCGCTATCAAAGTTCCGAAGCGTTGTCAATTATCACACGGAGCGTTAGCCGCTCTCCGGGCACTTTGCCCGGCGGGAGATCTTCCCTTTTCCTTCCACGACCACAGTGATGACTACCCGACGTGATGTGAACAACGCACTCAACAGTCTTCTGAATCTACAACTTCAAGCCGTCGTCATTATCCTCGAGAACCCCTACTTTTCGCTCCCGAGAATCGCCTTCTGCAGTCTTCAGTTCCTGCAAGCCAGTCCAACTTGTCTTCGTCTCGACTCACCGCAGATTTATAAAGTAGACTTCTGGCACTTACGGCCACAGGTGTAATAGTTTTTGAACTTTAGGGGTTCGAAAGTCCCCCCCGAACGGGTTCCCGCCTTGTCGTGGCGGGGGGGCTTAGTAGCCGTGGCTTGGTCTCCCACGGTGAACAAAGAGGAACCCACGTGGCTGGCCCGAGGTGAAGGGCCGGCCTGAGGTGGCCACTCCGAGTGGGCTTGAGAGCCCACTTCGGATGTGTGCTGGTGGACTGCAGCGAGTGGGGACTCCGCACCCTCTACCGCTGCAGCCGAGGTGGAGTCGCGGAGGAAGAGGAGTGTTGGTATGGCGATGCGCCACTCGCCCTATCCTCCGCGACTCAAACGGGGCCGCACCGTTGATGCGGTGGTGATGGGGCTGCGGGGGGAGAGGATTGTCGGTATTGCGAAGCGCTACTCTCCCTATCCTCCGCAGCCGAATCTTGGTTGGCGGCGGAGCCATAGACCAGATCTGCCGCTGGGGTCGGGAAGGCTAGTACTTCTAAGTGCTCGTTTTTCCTGGCCCCATGGCCTTCGCGCATCGGACGCGGGGGTGTCTGTTGCGCAGATGCAATTAGAGGCCGTGGAGGAAGGCGTGCCATGTGTTCTGGTGCGCCTTACTTGGGAAGGATAACGGGGAGGAATATTCCTCTCTCGAGGAGGTGCTGCCATGGGGCCCTAGTCGCTGGTAGGGCCGCGGAAGTGTGCGAAAGCGTTCCCGTAGCCCTGCCAATATGTGACGAAGGTGGAACACCATGGGGTTTTAGTCGGTGCGAGTCCGACATAACCCGTCCTTGCCCCCGCGAGGCGGGTATGCGTAGGTATTTCCCCATGTAAAAAAAAGGGGTTCGAAAGTGGTTCGAATTGGTTCATATAAATATAAGCACAGCCAATGCGTTTGTTTATATGTACCTTTTTAACCCTTGACTAAAAAAAGGGGTCCTATAAGTTTGTAGTAATAAAATAAATAAAATAAAATAGCCTTTTATTCCTCATTATTTACACTTAGTAAATTTGTTAGAAATTCATTTTTAATAGCTTTAAGTGCATGCATTATTGTTACGAGCTTGAGGTTCGTGACAATAAAAGTCGCTGATAAAATTACACTTTATATTATATTATAATAACACTTTAATTTACTTTACACAAATTAAAACTTAAAACACTAATAATTAAACACACTAATTCACTTAATTCCGCTCCGAAGCTTCGCTTGTGTCGCCGAGTTCAACTCTGCCCCGATCGCATCTTGCAGCGCCTATTTATATAATTAGCAAAGAAGCGTCCCGAACATTCAAGTAAATACGCGCCAGGCAACGAGTATTCGAGTGTAGATTTTCCAGAAACTTAGTTCTTCGGGTGGCGCTGTCGGTTGAGTGATTTGTGATGTCATTTTCTCAATGCTCCCCTCGCTCTCGTTCCTGACACTAGATGGCGCTAGTGTATCGTCGACTTGAGCGCGTAACACTGCCCCCTCCTAAGACATGCTCGTCCCGAGCATTATCGGCCCCATAATAACGCGCCAAGCGATCCACATGGACGATCTTAGGAGTCCCTCTTGCGCCTTTCTGTAACGGCTCCGCAAGGTCAAGGGCTGTCCTATCCCGTGGTGCACCAACATTGTACAATTTCGGTGCTCCTCTACTACGTGTCTGAGGTCCCCGCACGGCCGCACAACTTGTACATGTACGACACCAATCCTCGACATCGTCACGATAATGGACCCAGTAAAACTGTTCCCGGACCTTCAGTAGAGTTCGTTTAACTCCCAGATGGACTCTTGAACGACCATTATGGCACAGCTGTAGAACATTCGGCACTTTAGCTTTAGGGACAACCATTTGCAAACGACAGCTGTCTCTTCGACCATTGTCCCATTTACGGCACAGGACTCCATCCTGAATCAGCAAGCTGTCCCATTGGGCCCAATAGCTTTTCGTGGTTGAACTCATCGCTGAGACGTCCCTCCACTTAGGCTTGGTAGCACGGGCCTTCATCCATCCCAGAATCGGCTTGATGTCCGGATCTTCCTGCTGTGCATGTCGTAGGCTGTCCTTCCACCCGTTGCTGAGGTGGTCTGTCCTGAGCATCCTAACGGATACCACTTCCTTACTCTCTTGCCTACTACAATGGTTGCAATCTTCAGGACAAGGTCTTCTTGTCAATGCATCTGCGTTGCCGTGAGATTTCGCGCTGCAGTGTCTGATAGTAAAGTCGTATTCCTGCTGCTGCTGGGCGGTGCTGTTAGCCGCACTTCCTTTCTGAGACCGTTCACCTTCCCTTCCTAGGGTGTGCTTAGGGCAGCTGGAACGAAGATGGCCCCTTTCCCCACAGCCATAGCACCTAGGGCTGTATCTTTTATTGTGGTCGCGAACCGTAACTGCTGTAACCTCCCTAGCGTGAGGTGAACGATGATACCGTCGCCGCCAGGCAGTGCCGTTAGCTGCACTACCCTCTCGAGATCGATCAACTCTCCTTTCCACGGTTCGTTTAGGGCAGCTGGATCGAAGATGGCCCTTTTCCCCACAGCCATAGCACCTAGGGCTGTATCCTTTGCTGCGGTCACGGACTGTAGCGGCTGCAACCTCCCTGACGCGATGGGAACGATGATCCTGCCGCACGGCTTCCACCTCCAGTGCATGGGCCAAGGCGTCCTTAAGCGTCTCGTGGTGCCCCAGCCTCACAGCAGCTCTGACTTCAGGGTCGCGGATGCCGTCGATGAATGTCTGCACCAGGTTACCTTCAATGAGCGCAGGTACAGACCGGTATGCTTTTCGCACCAGCTTCTCCACCTCTAGAGCCCACTGCTGCAGGTTTTCGTTGATGCGCTGCACGCGATCTTTAAGCTGCGTACGAAAGACGTGTTCCAGGTGAGCGTGGCCATATCTCGCCTCCAACGCCTCAAGGAGTTGCTCATAAGTCACTTCCTCACCGAGAGCTTCCAGAACTGTTAAGGCCTGGTCGCGCAGGCCTAGTGTGAGAGCAGTCATGGCCTGACTTTTATTCCAGCCGTTCGCTTTCATAACAGCCTCGAACTGGATTTTGTAGGCTGACCAGGAAGAAGTCCCGTCAAACGGTGGCACCTTGAACCCACGTAGCGAAGGTGCTGAAGCTACTACGGGAGCTGTGGTTCCATCCCCAAGTTTGAGTTCGTCCAGCGTTTTCTTAACTTGGTTGATTGTGGTCTCAGCTTCCGACAGGCGGTTATCATGTTGAGCAACCTTATCCTTCACCTCCCTTATCTCTTTCCCGAAGGTAGCGTGAAGGTCCTTCATGAGAAGCATCTGTTCTTCCCTATCGCGTTTGAGCTGCTCTTATAAGCGACGGGCCTGTTCCTCCTGTCCGCCCCGCAGCTGCTCTTCCAACCGCCGGGCCTGTTCCTGCAGTATCACCATCAGAGCGCCTAAATCAGGTGCTGCAGATGCAGGAGCTACTGACGGACCGGCCTCTGTTGCCGGCGGCTGGCCCTCCGACGTCTGCGGCGTTGCACCACCAAATCTTCGTTGGTCCGTCTCCTGCTGGCGTTGACTTCGGGTAAGGACACCCTCCGTTTCCTCCTTAGGTAAAATCGGCATTATTTTATCCCACTTCTGACACCAATTGTTACGAGCTTGAGGTTCGTGCAATAAAAGTTGCCGATAAAATTACCTAAATTAACACTTTAATTTACTTTACACAAATTAAAACTTAAAACACTAATCATTAAACACACTAATTCACTTAATTCCGCTCCAAAGCTTCGCTTGTGTCGCCGAGTTCAACTCTGCCCCGATCGCATCTTGCAGCGCCTATTTATATAATTAGCAAAGAAGCGTCCCGAACATTCAAGTAAATGCGCGCCAGGCAACGAGTATTCGAGTGTAGATTTTCCAGAAACTTAGTTCTTCGGGTGGCGCTGTCGG